TAAGAACTATTATACATACTGTATATCTACGTCTACAAAAAAACTTATTATTAATATATATATTATTCCAAGCCCACATCATATTAAAAGTTTAAAACTCTCTTAAGTGTTTTTCTACATAGCTTTACCTGTTTTTTTATGATTTTATCCTCAAATTCTTTACTCTTTTTTTCTCTTTCTCATGTTATTCGCTCTTAAAATTTTTGAAGACTGAATTTATTAAATTTTCACTACTCAAGGTTAGCTCCGTTTTCTGTTTTATCGATTTTAGGTATGTGCATTGTTCATTTCAATTTAGTTTATTTAAGGATTGAATCATTTTTTTTTTCTTTTTGAGGTTTTTTATTCTAATTTGAGAGAAAAAGATATTAATCTTGTGAGTTTATTTGTATTTTCTGTCTAAGAATGAATGTGCTTTCTCAAATTAAAACTTTAACTATATTTTAAAGAACGTTATTCTCCACCCTTCACCCACCACTTTTTTACTTTTTAAACGTCACCGTTAAGTTATTCAAAATTATTAAAGAAATTTGAGTTACTATCTATGCTTATACTAAAAAAAATTCCCCTCTTTTATTAATTCATATTAAAAATCAACGTAACGTTAACTTGATTTAAGTTTTGATTGATTTTAGCTTAATTAGGCTAAGTTTGATCAACGCTAAGAAAATTTATATTGTAATATTTGAAAGCCAAAAATAAAAATATTAAAAGAATGTTTTGTTCATGGTTTACTCAATACTATTACTCAAAATTTTGCTTCTCATAGATTTATTCAAGTAAGAAAATATTGTGCTATTATATATTCTTTTTTCTCAGGTTTTTAATATTGTATTATATTTTTAATTAAGGTTTAGAGATTTTTTAATGTTTTCATTAGTTATTTGGCAAATAATGGCAGAGCCACGGAGGCCCACCCTCGACAAAAATCCTGGATCCACCATTGATAAGAGCCATATGATATATATGTGGTATTAGAAGTTGTATTTGTCCCTTATCGCTAATTTGATGGACTATATATATATTGTGAGAAGTTATATTTGTCTCATTTCTTCAATCTTCTCTTGAGTTAGCTTTTTAACATTTTCGGATTTCAGAGTCAAATATATCTACACACATATGAAATTTATAATTATTTGGGGTGATGATTCACTTAAAGGAAATAATAAAGAATCCCATGTCATTATCACCCCCAAGATCTATCTCAATTTAATTAATACAAGACCTAAAGTTATGCCAAGGATAATAATACAAAATAAGATTATATAAATGAATTTAAATAATTGAGTATGTGACATATCCAGCTAATCGTGAACAAATTGCAAAAGATAATACTAGAAAACATTATGAAAAATAATTGCTAATTTTGGTGCAATGTATCATATATTACTTCACTATTCCATATATAAATAACCGTATCACATGAAAATTATATCTAAATCAAAAGCAATAAACTTTATTTAGCGATAATGATTTATGACATGACTTAGAACATCATATGAATACGATGTAAAGTCAACTTGTAAAACTATGTGAAACTTATTTTGTTAATTGTTGACATAAACAATATTAGTTGTATCAAACCCATTTATTAAATCATTCATATTAGAATTTAAACAATATACATAATGAATTAAACATTTTATATTTGAGTTGACTAAAACTTATTTATATCTTTTTACTCATAATTATTTAAAATAACCATTCAAGGCTTAACCCTTCAAGGCTCAACCCTTTTCCGAGCTCTAGTTGTGCTTTTATAATTTTATTTTTCACCCAATTTTGTCCCTTTTTCCCTTTCATTTCAAGTTATTAAACCAAACAATTTAAACAGTTAAGATTTAGACGTAACTTGTGTAAGAGGTTGTATTTATCTTATATTGCCAATTTAGTTGTATTTGTCTAATATTGTCAATTTAATAGATTATTAAAATTTGTTATGGTGTATATATGTGGTTGAATTCTCTCTTTTATTAAATTAGTTTTTAGAAATTAGTTGTATCAAAACAATTTATTATGATATCAAAAAAGTTATCTTTTAGAAAACAATCTCAATTACCCAATGCATTATTTGAAGAACTCTATAATATTGTCATTATTCCTTATAACAAATGGTTCTCGAAAATTTTAATTTAAAAAACAATCTCAATTAATTACGCAAATGCACTATTACGAGAACTTTATAATACAGTAAAACCTCTATAGTCATAATAGTAGGATTAATTAATTTTATTACTATGAGAAGGTTATAACTTAATAGAGGTGTAGTTAAAAAAATTTATTATTTCATAATTCATGTTTTAGTAATAATATTAGGATTTCAATTCATATTTTAATAATATTAGAGTTTCAATTCAACACTTTAATTGCCTACTTTTGAAACATATAGAAAATCGTGTTTTAAAACCAATAAAGATAATAGTCTTTGATGGAATTGTAAATGTAGTTGCTGCATGACAACTAATGTGAAGCTACAGACAATTGTCAATTGTTTTAAGCATTACAAAATTAGGATCCCCGATATTGATGAATTGCAAGTTACAAATGAAGTGGATGAGGAGAATCAAAGAGTCATTGTAGAATTGAGTGATCAGATTTAACAACTTCACTACACTAATCGAATGAATATTAATGTTTTCCTTAATCATCCAAATGAGTAACAAGTCATGTATGCTTTAACAATAGAATAAATCATTTTTACAATTAAACAAGAAGAAAAAAGAAATAATTATGAGGATAATAGTATGGGTGTTCAAAAGAACCGATTGGAACCGGCGGGTACCCTAGGTTTGGTTCCGATTCTTACCCAAAATCAGTCATCAATGGGTAGGTTCCGGTTCCGGTTCCGGTTCCTATAGTTAGGAACCGGAACCAGGAACCAGGAACCGAGACTAATATAAAATAAAATTAAATATTAGGGGGGTTAATAAAAACTTTTGTAGAAAAAGTAATGTGAATAAATTTATATTTATATTTCATAACATTTAAAGTAAGTTGGTTTGACTTTTGAGAATCTACCTTTACAAAGTAATGAAGTTTTTCATTTTGAATTTATAATTTGTAATTTTATTTTTGTTAACAAGTGCCAGGTGGGGGGGTATTTGTAAGTTTTTAAGGGTTTTTTTGCCATTTTAAAAACTTTTAGAGGGTCATATAATTTTACAGAGTACCCAGAACCATAACTGGAACCGTTGTTACAGGTTCTGGTTCTAGGTACCTAGGAACCGTAACCGTCGGTTCCGGTTTTGGTTCCAAATTTCAAGGAATCGTCGGTTCCGATTCCGACAAAAAGTGCAGGGTACCTGGAACCGAACACCCCTAGATAATAGTATGAAAATACAAAAAGTTCTATGTCAAAAAACTTTAAACATGTTTTAGAAGCTATAAATTGTTTTGTCTCATATCACCAATTTAGTAGACTAGTGAATTGGTGTTATAATTAAGATAGATCAACACCGTTCAATATAAAAAATGAACAATTAAAAATATTAATTTTTTTTTTTTAATAGCAATTGTTATAAGTTATTTTGTCCCGCCAATTTAGTAGACTAGTATGATATATATATATATATATATATGTGTGTGTGTGTGTGTGTGTGTGTGTTAAAAGTTGTATTTGTCTTATATCATTAATTTAATATATATATGGTGTTAGAAGTTGTATTTGTCTTATATCGTTAATTTAATAGACTATTATGACATCAAAACCACGTGATATATATATGGTGTCTCGCATTGCTAATTTGATATAATATTATGGCATAAGAGTCATGTGATATATATGTGATATTAAAAATTGTATTTATCCCATCTCGCTAATTTGATAGACTATTATGATATATATATATATATAGTGTTAGAAATTGTATTTGTTTTCTATCGTCAATTTCGTCTTTTGAGGTAGCTTTTTAAAATTTTCGAATTTCGAGTCAAATATATCTACACACATATGTAATTTATAATTATTTGGGGTGATGATCACTTAAAGGAAATAATAAAGAATCCCATGTCATTATCACCCCCAAGATCTAACTCAATTTAATTTAATACAAGATCTAAACTTATGCCAAGAATAATAATACAAAATAAGATTATATAAATGAATTTAAATAATTGAGTATGTGACATATCCAGCTAATCGTGACCAAATTGCAAGAGATAATACCAGAAAACAATATGAAAAATAATTGCTAATTTTGGTGCAATATATCATATATTACTTCACTATTCTATATATAAATAACCGTATCACATGAAAATTATATCTAAATCAAAAGCAATAAACTTTATTTAGCGATAACGATTTGTGACATGACTTAGAACATGATACGAATACGATATAAAGTTAACTTGTAAAACATGACACGAATACGATGTGAAACTTATTTTGTTAATTATTTACATAAAAAAGTATTAGTTGTATTAAACCCATTTATTAAATCATTCATATTAGAATTTAATCAATATACACAATGAATTAAACATTTTATATTTGAGTTGACAAAAACTTATTTATATATTTTTACTCACAATTATTTAAAAAAACCCTTCAAGGCTCAACCCTTTTCCGAGCTTTAGTTGTACTTTTATAATTTTATTTTTCACCCAATTTTGTCAATTTTTCGCTCTCATTTCAAGTTATTAAACCAAATAATTTAAACAGTTAAGATTCAGACGTAACTTATGTTAAAGGTTGTATTTACCTTATATCACTAATTTAGTTGTATTTATCTTATGTCATCAATTTAATAGATTGTTAAAATTTGTTATATATATATATATATATATATATATATGTGGTTGAATTATCTCTTTTATTAAATTAGTTTTTAAAAATGAGTTTTACTAAAACAATTTATTATTATAATATTGTCAAAACTTTCACATCTCACAATAAGTTGAACGACATCGTTTTCTCTTTTAAATAAGAGAAAAAGGATTAAAATATAATAAGAAAGGGGTGTTATTTATTGTATTTTTATGGAGTTAAATGTAGCATTATAGCGACCACGCAAAGAGAAATCAAACACAAAGCAAAGACAAAAGTGTGACTTGTCCAAAAATTCTCTTCTCCCTCGCACTCGTCTCGTCCGCAACCATCGGAGAACCAAAAAAAAAAAAAAAAGGAAGAGAAGAGAGAGAGAGAGAAACATGGAGTTGTAGAATAGAGAGATTAGATGGCAAACACAGAGAGATTATAGTGAGAGAGAGAGAGAGAGAGCAGCAGGGCAATGCTGGAATTGATTGGCTCTAATTCAAAGTCTAACTAGATTATATGGGGGGCAGTGGAACTCTCGTGGACGGTGTGCGTCGCTGGTTTCAACGCCATACTTTTCATTCTAATAACAATAATCTTGATAATCATGCTGTGAATAAATCTCAATCTCAATCTCAAGAACAACAAGGTCCTCTTACCATTGTTGAAGACTTTGATTTTGCTGGCTTAAAGCCCATCAGGGTTCCCAAAAGAAACCACCTTCCAATTTCCTACTCTATGGATCCTCAAAAGAAGGTTTCTCTTTTATCTCTCATTTTTTTGTTTGCCCTTTTGTTTTAGATATTGTTTTTGTTTTCGTTGTGTTTAAGCAAGAGGTGATGACATTGACGTTTATAAAACTGATCAAGATTTGTTTTTGTTTGGTAGAGTTTGCTGCTTTATTGGATTCATTCTGTTTAGTTGCTGGGAAAATATAATTTTAAGTTTTGATGGTTTTGTTTATTTTATGGATGACGTTCTTAGTTAATAAATTGTCTGTTTCGATCTTATGCAATTTGTTATTGCTTTCATACTATTGATGCTTTTAGGGCACCTTTTTTTCTGTTTTACTCTGTCGTTTTATTTTACTACCATCTTGGTGCAATTTCGTGTTTTTTTTTTCAGCATTTGTGCGGCTATTTGCGTTGGCAAGTTGGGATATTTGATATGCTTGATTCTTTGCCCGTTTCCCCTTCTTTAGTAATCATCTTGTACCTTTTAGGAGTTCATTGATGTTTGCGGTTCTTGCTCATTTTCTGGTCTCATTTTAGTGTTATCTACCTGTTCCCATAATCAATATGTACCTATAATTTCTTACTGTTTTTCATGCCCAATTAACCAGTTAATTTTTTTTTTTCATGTTGTTGATTTATAGTGTTGGAAGATAGAATTTCACTCAGTAACCTTGTGAGGAGACCATCTTATGGCCTTTTAGGAATAGGACTAAGTAGAAATAGACAATGGCACTTTCTTTAATGTTTTGAGTTTTACAAGCAGGTTCGGATGCTAGGAAAATAAGCTGCTTTCTAACCATTTTGGCATATTAGAAATCTTTTAATTGATACTTGGGATGGCTTGATGAGCTTCTTGGAGAGCTACGATTTTTGTAGAGAAGGGTGAGAAGATGCATTTCTCATCCTGATGTTTCTGATGATTTTAAACTTTAAAATAAAATTTGGTCCTCTATGGTATTGCGAGTTTCCTTTACTGATTTTTTGGATCTTGCATTACTTACCAGTAGAGGAGTGATGGGTTGTTCAGTTGATACTCATGTTCCACTGGTCTCCATTTTAGAATATTCTGTTTTATACTTCAGCAGTGCAACAACATGATTTTTATTTTTGTTTTTCAATTATATCCTTATTTTCATATGTTCACATTTTTAATCCCCTGTAATGTTTTTATTTTTAACTCCATAAATACTGGTTGCTAATCTTTATGCAGGGTGCACTAGAAACAGAATTCTTCACTGAGTACGGAGAGGCAAGCCGATACCAAATTCAAGAAGTCATTGGGAAAGGAAGCTATGGTGTTGTTGGTTCTGCAGTTGACACACATACTGGAGAAAGGGTTGCAATTAAGAAGATAAATGATGTTTTCGAGCATGTCTCTGATGCCACTCGCATTTTGAGAGAAATTAAACTCCTTCGGTTGCTTCGTCATCCTGATATTGTAGAAATAAAGCATATTATGCTTCCACCTTCACGACGTGAATTCAGGGATATTTATGTTGTTTTTGAGTTGATGGAATCTGATCTTCATCAAGTAATTAAGGCAAATGATGACCTGACTCCTGAGCATTATCAGTTTTTCTTGTACCAGCTTCTCCGTGGTCTGAAATATACACATACAGGTTGGTCCAGTGTATTGCTTTTCGGCTTTAATACTTTTGAAAATTACTGATTTCTTTTGATTTTTTGCAGCAAATGTGTTTCATAGAGATTTAAAACCAAAGAACATTCTTGCCAATGCTGATTGCAAATTGAAGATATGTGATTTTGGGCTTGCTCGAGTATCTTTCAATGACGCTCCATCAGCCATTTTCTGGACTGTACGGTTTTCTGTCATACAAATCATGAATTTTCATCTAATTCAAATATTTTACTTAATTTTAAGTTACTAAGTTATTTCTATATAATGCTATTTTCTAAGTAAAATTTCTAAAATTTGCACAGGACTACGTAGCAACTCGGTGGTACCGTGCTCCTGAACTTTGCGGATCTTTTTTCTCCAAGGTAAGTTATTCTTTACGACTTTACCTATGATGATACTTTGACCTTTCCTTCTGCTTTCCTATCCCGTTTCTAGTTTCTGAGGTTGGCCTGAGGAATGGAAAATATTTGGTTATCATATTCTAATAACTGGGACAAATAGGGAAGCTTCTATGCTTTGGCTTTGTCTATATTTGATTTGTTTCCAAAGTGGATTTTTGGGTACATTTTCATTATTGGTCACCGCAACTTTTTGGTAAAATCTACTGTTTAGTAAGATATTATTTGATTATGTTGTGTACGGTAGTTGAAATTCTATTGATTTATTGGACCAACTGTAGTTGTACCCTTTCTAAACCTCTTATATAATTTTATTCCAGTGATGATCCATTAATATGATAAACATTTGCAAGTTTCATTTTGTTAGGTACATATTTTTTCTGCCCCATTGAAATTACAATATGGAGTTCCTTGTACCTAAGTTAGCTCGTTTGGCTGTTGCACATTTTAACTAAAATCTAAACTTGGATCACTCATCTATCAAAACCTTTTCACTATCCATCAGCTCTTCTCCTTTTTATGAAGATCCTATTTTTGAATTGTTAGAGTTGTTATATGCTAGAATTAATACTAACAACAGGTGTGCCTTGATAAATTTACATATCTGTTATACCATTTTAGACAATTGGATCGCTGTACATTCTAGATCTAACGCCAACCTTTTAAATTGCTTTGATATAGTGGTCTAGAAATAGTGTAAGAATTTTTTTAAAAATGTGACGAAGTAGATCCTTCCCAATATGTATATACACATGCTGNTGTTGATTTATAGTGTTGGAAGATAGAATTTCACTCAGTAACCTTGTGAGGAGACCATCTTATGGCCTTTTAGGAATAGGACTAAGTAGAAATAGACAATGGCACTTTCTTTAATGTTTTGAGTTTTACAAGCAGGTTCGGATGCTAGGAAAATAAGCTGCTTTCTAACCATTTTGGCATATTAGAAATCGTTTAATTGATACTTGGGATGGCTTAATGAGCTTCTTGGAGAGCTATGATTTTTGTGGAGAAGGGTGAGAAGATGCATGTCTCATCCTGATGTTTCTGATGATTTTAAACTTTAAAATAAAATTTGGTCCTCTATGGTATTGCGAGTTTCCTTTACTGATTTTTTGGATCTTGCATTACTTACTGCTAGAGGAGTGATGGGTTGTTCAGTTGATACTCATGTTCCACTGGTCTCCATTTTAGAATATTCTGTTTTATACTTCAGCAGTGCAACAACATGATTTTTTTTTTTTTCAATTATCTCCTTATTTTCATATGTTCACATTTTTAATCCCCTGTAATGTTTTTATTTTTAACTCCATAAATACTGGTTGCTAATCTTTATGCAGGGTGCACTAGAAACAGAATTTTTCACTGAGTACGGAGAGGCAAGCCGATACCAAATTCAAGAAGTCATTGGGAAAGGAAGCTATGGTGTTGTTGGTTCTGCAGTTGACACACATACTGGAGAAAGGGTTGCAATTAAGAAGATAAATGATGTTTTCGAGCATGTCTCTGATGCCACTCGCATTTTGAGAGAAATTAAACTCCTTCGGTTGCTTCGTCATCCTGATATTGTAGAAATAAAGCATATTATGCTTCCACCTTCACGACGTGAATTCAGGGATATTTATGTTGTTTTTGAGTTGATGGAATCTGATCTTCATCAAGTAATTAAGGCAAATGATGACCTTACTCCTGAGCATTATCAGTTTTTCTTGTACCAGCTTCTCCGTGGTCTGAAATATACACATACAGGTTGGTCCAGTGTATTGCTTTTCGGCTTAATACTTTTGAAAATTACTGATTTCTTTTGATTTTTTGCAGCAAATGTGTTTCATAGAGATTTAAAACCAAAGAACATTCTTGCCAATGCTGATTGCAAATTGAAGATATGTGATTTTGGGCTTGCTCGAGTATCTTTCAATGACGCTCCATCAGCCATTTTCTGGACTGTACGGTTTTCTGTCATACAAATCATGAATTTTCATCTAATTCAAATATTTTACTTAATTTTAAGTTACTAAGTTATTTCTATATAATGCTATTTTCTAAGTAAAATTTCTAAAATTTGCACAGGACTACGTAGCAACTCGGTGGTACCGTGCTCCTGAACTTTGCGGATCTTTTTTCTCCAAGGTAAGTTATTCTTTACGACTTTACCTATGATGATACTTTGACCTTTCCTTCTGCTATCCTATCCCGTTTCTAGTTTCTGAGGTTGGCCTGAGGAATGGAAAATATTTGGTTATCATATTCTAATAACTGGGACAAATAGGGAAGCTTCTATGCTTTGGCTTTGTCTATATTGATTTGTTTCCAAAGTGGATTTTTGGGTACATTTTCATTATTGGTCACCGCAACTTTTTGGTAAAATCTACTGTTTAGTAAGATATTATTTGATTATGTTGTGTACGGTAGTTGAAATTCTATTGATTTATTGGACCAACTGTAGTTGTACCCTTTCTAAACCTCTTATATAATTTTATTCCAGTGATGATCCATTAATATGATAAACATTTGCAAGTTTCATGTTGTTAGATGCATATTTTTTCTGCCCCATTGAAATTACAATATGGAGTTCCTTGTACCTAAGTTAGCTCGTTTGGCTGTTGCACATTTTAACTAAAATCTAAACTTGGATCACTCATCTATCAAAACCTTTTCACTATCCATCAGCTCTTCTCCTTTTTATGAAGATCCTATTTTTGAATTGTTAGAGTTGTTATATGCTAGAATTAATACTAACAACAGGTGTGCCTTGATAAATTTACATATCTGTTATACCATTTTAGACAATTGGATCGCTGTGCATTCTAGATCTAATACCAACCTTTTAAATTGCTTTGATATAGTGGTCTAGAAATAGTGTAAGAATTTTTGTAAAAATGTGACGAAGTAGATCCTTCCCAATATGTATATACACATGTTGGTTAATACATTATATATGGAGGTAGTTCATTGCTTACCTTTATTCTCAAATCTTTACTTCTCTTCCCCCTTTTTTTTAAAGATCAACCAACATTATGAGATCTAGGTCGAAAATTAGTGTTAGGCAATCATTTGTTTTTTAATAATTTTTGCTCTTTGAAGTGATGTTGGCTGGCTACTTGTCAATAATGAGGGCATCTTTGGTCTACTTTCAGGAATGTCACCTAATAAAAGTCAAATTCTCGCTGCATTGACAATTGAGATTGTGCATTTTAGGATTTGAGCATTTGTATCATATTTGATGTCCTACCTGGTGGATGTCGTAGTGCTTGTTGAAGCAAAGGCTCTTTTGTTCTCGGATAGGAATTCTCTATTTTTACTTTGCTGTGCACTGAAATTTGATGAGTTTCTATAATTATCTTATAGTGGCCATATAATCTTTTATCTGCTAAATTGGCCTATAGAGTGCTAAGTTGCCCAACTGATTTATAGTTTATTCTGTGCCTTAACCTTAATATATTTTCTAACAAAGAACTATTTTATATTTGGCTTCATGCTATTATCTGCAATCTAGGGAACTGTAGTGTATTATTCATTTCTGACAGTTGTTTTTGCTTTATTGGTATGCTGATAAATTTTTTGGCTTTGCTATTTTGTTGAGGGTCTATCCTCTGATAAAATAAATATGACATTGCATCTTTCTTTTTAAGCCCTGTGAGCGGTTTCTTGTATGAAATACTTCCTTTCTGGTTTATAGGATTTGCATTGGATTTCATTAAGATGTCTGCAATTTCTAAGTACTTGTTTCTTTTTCAGTACACTCCTGCAATTGATATATGGAGCATAGGATGCATATTTGCTGAAATGCTTACAGGAAAACCACTTTTTCCTGGAAAGAACGTGGTTCACCAATTGGATCTCATGACTGATTTACTTGGCACTCCTTCTGCTGAATCCATTTCAAGGGTTGGTAATCCAGTCTAGTACTGATTTTCTGTCATCATCAGAAACTAATTGTTAAATGTAATCAGATGCTCTGAAATGTTCCTTATTATATGTTTTTTGACCGTGCAGCTTTTCTGCTATATTTCTTTCTGTTAATTTTCCATTATTCAGCTTTGACCTTAAAATATATTCAGTAATCATTCTAGCCTTTCTTATTTTTTATTTTAAATTAAGTTAGAGTTAAAGTTTGATTAGTATTTTACCACATTGGCAGATTCGTAATGAAAAGGCAAGGAGGTATCTTAGTAGCATGCGAAAGAAACAACCAGTTCCATTCACACACAAATTCCCCAACGTAGATCCATTAGCTCTCCGCCTATTGGAACGCCTGCTTGCATTTGATCCAAAAGATCGTCCAACAGCTGAAGAGGTAAGTAGGATTCAGTATCAATAAAAATTTCTGTTTGATTGATAATAACGTTTTACTTGGAAAGTACCAAAATGAAAAGTGGAGTACTAACCCGGTATGTGGGTACCGTAAGAGAGTGAATGTTGAAATTTAATTTAAAAAAACTGCAAACTAATAGTAAATCCAGAAAATCTAAAAGGGATAGATGTTGAAGAATCCCGTCTAACCTAAAACACTGCATTAAGAATAAGGGAACCACTTTCTAATCTAAATGGCTGAAGCTCCTCTTGAATCTTCTCTACCAAGTATTTGACAATTGGAGCATCATACGAGTTATTGCCAATGGCACAAGATACTGTTAACTGTAAAGATCACAGCTCTTTAGCATATGAAATAATATTGGAAGATGACCTGCAGTCTTTCCATTCTACTTACAGATGTCAGCAACTAGCCAACCATGAGCCTCTTAAAATCTGTGTGTGGTTCTATAAGAGTTGCATCCTTCTAAAAATAGAACAAGTATGCCAAAATTTCTGTGGGAGATTAATACATATGTTTCTTCAGAATCATATAATGTGATTCAACCCCATTGTTTTTAGTCTAACAAATTTCATCTTTCCTATATCTTTTAATGTACAGTTCGTTAAGTTTATTAAGTGATGCATCCACTGGCTCCAATTCCCAATCTCTTGGGTGGTTAGCTTCAAGTCAATGTAAAAAAACTAAAAGAGAAAGGAGTTTTGTCAAATAATTTTTTTGAAGACCATGATGCTTTCTGATGTCCCTGATTCTTATGCTTGCAGGCATTGGCTGATCCTTACTTTCAAGGTTTGGCAAATGTGGATCGTGAACCATCCACTCAACCCATTTCAAAGCTGGAGTTTGAGTTTGAGAGGAGGAAATTGACCAGAGATGATGTTAGAGAGTTGATCTATCGAGAGGTCTAACCATGATCTTTGTTGCTTTAATTTATTGTAAATCTTTTATTTATTATTGATGTTAATGAAATTCATGTTTTGGGGAAACAGATATTAGAGTATCATCCTCAGATGCTGCAGGAGTATCTTCGTGGTGGAGAACAGACTAGCTTCATGTACCCAAGGTAGGCAGTTGTCTGTCTTTGAACTGTATTTATTCTGTGCATTAGTAGCGAGAGCTGTTTTAGTCATTATCTTCTACCAATTGCATAAAAAGAAAGAAATAATTTTGCATTTGATCCCTTATACATTCGATGTAAGGTACTTATCTCTAAATAATAATATTGTAGTCCTCATCTTCCTGATCCACTTTTTTGGTGCTAAATAGAATTCCTATTTTGGGTACCCCTAATTAGGATGATACCTAAACATTTTTACTTTAAAATTTTATGATCTGGTGATTGTTTTAGTCAGCATGGAGATGTTCTGCAAATCAGAACTTCAACTTATTCAACTTAAGAAGAAAATATAAACTCAATGAAGAAAATTTATAGTAAATACTAAATAGTTGGTTGATTTTAGTATTACTATAATTATTAGTTTTTAAGTCACATTAGTCTGTTTTGTGTTAGCATTTCATTGATAACTTTGTGTTATTTCTGTAATTCTATGTAGTGGTGTGGATCGATTCAAGCGACAATTTGCGCATCTTGAGGAGCATTATGGTAAAGGTGAAAGGGGCACCCCCCCACTCCAAAGGCAGCATGCTTCCTTGCCTAGGTATGTGCCATTTTCTTAATTTAGTGCTTATCTTGGTGCTTCAAATAGGAGATCTAATTGATATATCTTATCTTCAGAGAGAGGGTTCCTGCTCCTAAGGATGAAACTGCTGCAGAAAATAATTATGAAAGAACTGCAGCTTCTGTTGCTACAACTCTACACAGCCCTCCGTCTGATGTTTCGGAAAATGCAAACAAGGACGGGCAAAATGGAATCAACAAGCCAAACTGCAGTGCTCGTAGCCTATTGAAGAGCGCTAGCATTAGTGCTTCCAAGTGTGTGGTTGTGCAACAAAAAAGAGATGGAGAGGTAAATGCTGTCATTTTACATAACTCTTGTTTATCCCTTGCTTTAACATATTCATTAGTTTATGGCGTGCTTACTCTTTCCTACAGCTCGAGGAAGCAATTCGTGAGGCGAACGATGAGACGGTTGACGGGTTAACTCAGAAGGTGGCAATCCTTCATGCGTGATTTCAAACTAATGCGATCTTCTACGGAAAGTGTCAGATGTGGTATAAATTTGTGATAATGCCAATTTTCTACTCATAACCTGGAAATGGGATGATGAGTCTTATGACCTGCATAGAAGATCTTCACTTATTTTAGGTAGAAGCTAATAGTAGGACTACATTCTTATAGTTACCCTTTTTGTGTTACCAAAATACGGAGGAGATGCTCTCTTTTTATTTAACTCTTATTTTATATCTTTATGTGCAACCGTATACTTTGTGCGATTGTGTAGTGTTATACAACAGGCAGAAGAGAAGTTTTGGCTTGAAGAAAAACAGTGTTGCCTTCCCTTAATACATTTATCTCTCTCAAAGAAAAGTTATATGTTTTATTGTTTGTGTGAAAATGAAAGCAATGTGTATATCCCGGGGCAACTCTGGTGAACCAAGATGTAGTAATCGGTTAGAGATACGTTATCTCCAGTATTATAGACTCGTTGGCCTAGTTAGTAAAAATGCGTATTATAAGCGAATTGTACGGACAGTTGTATAATTCGCGTATAAAACGCACGATATGTATTTTGTAAATCGTCGTATAATTCACATATAATAAGTCTCGTATAATTCGCGAACTATTCGCGAATTATTGACAAAAAAAAAACAAAACAAAATCTCACCCCAAAACGATGTCGTGTTAGTGGGTTTTTACTAAAAATTAAAATAGATCTCTCTTCTTTGTTTCTTCTTCAGTTCTTCAGTTCTTCTCCTCAGTTCGGTTCTTCTCTTCCTCAGTTCTTCTTCAGCTTTTCTTCTCAGTTCTTCACAAATTCCACAAGCAATCAACTCCCAATCAACACACACAATCAACTCCAGCAAACAGCTATCAACTCCCACCCGACTCCAACAAACAAATTTCCATAAGACAGTTGCTCGGGTAATAGAGCGACGAGGTTGTGGACATCGGCGACCGAATCATGTGAACCCATCACAAGCACAAAACACCAAACCCAAGAACGGTGTGGAGGGGCACAGATCTTGTCCCCACACAGTGGCCAAGTGTGGTCAGTTGTCAGTCGACAAGAATGCAGAGGGAGAATAGAAGAAACAGAAGAAAGAGGAGAGAAGAAAAGGGAAGAGAAAAAAATAGACATAAGTATACAAAGAGACGAAGGTTTAAGAAGGAAGTGAAGAGAAGGTGGAGAAAACAAAGAGAAAGAAGAGAAACTTACAGAAGAAAGGAGAAGAAAGTTTTGAAAAGAACGAGAAAATGAAGAGAAGAGAATGTGTTTAATAAAATATATAGTTTTACATGGTACATTTGTAATTTTTGTAAATTGACTGCAGGGTGTATTTGTAATTTTTGTAAATAATTGGTTTTGTTATGACTGTGTTTGATTTGACACTATAGGTGAATCTTGGCTAAATATTGTATGAGTCTGGAGACTATAATTTGAATATCCGTATATTATATATTGTGTATGTGGTATTGGTTAATTGAATACTTGCATTTGAAATGTTATATTGATTTTAACCAGATAGTCCATAAAAGTGTTAAAACTAAGATTGATATTGTCGTATTTTTCAAAACATATTATTGACAATGCGCCGTATTAAACCTATATAACCGTACCATATTTTTTCCGTACCGAATTTATGGCCGAATGTTTATGAACGTATTTTTCACCGTTTGCGTATTATACCAGTAAAATTCATGTACCCTTTTTTTGCCGTACCGTATTTACTAACTAGGCTCGTCGGTATAACTTTTCCGGCGTAAAATTGGATTTAACTAAGTATAAATTTGGCGAGCATATGTAATAACTAGTGAATTATAACTTTATTGCTTTAACAAGGCTATTTCTAAGTGTAAAGAGATCCCACTTTCTCGTTAATTGTTTGGCTCAACTCTTCAATTTGGCCACAAGAGTACATTTAGTAGAATGACTGAGAAAACAAAATTTTTTTTATTTAATTAAATATTATCCAAAAACTGGCTTTGAAATCTTTGAATCAATATATACGTGCGTGTTTGGCTTACTACTTTTATCTGTATTTTAGACCGATTTTTGAAATTGTGTTTGTTTTATTACTTGAAGAATCAACTTGATAATAGAATCCTGACACAATCTGACATTGACCGTTACAATTTTTTTTTCTTTTTTTTTTTCACTGCATCCTCACCATTTCACTTCTTCTCCGTGCTCAGTTCTCAATTCAATAACCGTTTTAGTGCTTCACTTTCTCAATATCCATCACCACCATTTCAGTCACCATTTCAGTTTGATAATCCTATACCAGGTTCGATGCTTCACTTCCAGTTTGCATTACCACCATCTCCCTTTAGTTTCAGTACCAGCACCGTGAACCCCAATGCTGTGTCACAAACTACATTGTAACCCAAAGTGAACCCACCGTCAACCGGGAAACCAGCCCACCCCGAGCCTCCACGCACCACAACGACCCTATCTCTACCCCAACCCAGCCCACCCGAGCCACCACGACCGAGATCTACCCCACCCAGCCACCCGAGCCACCACGACCCAACCCAACCACCCGAGCCACCACGCAGCCACCCCGAGCCACCACGCACCCGATCTACCCCACACAAGCCCACCCAAGCCACACGCACCCCAACCCAGCCCACCCGAGCCACCACGCAGCCACCCGAGCCACCACGCACCCGATTACCCCACACAAGCCCACCCAGCCACCACGCACCACCACGACACCACACAAGCCACCCGAGCCACCACGCACCACGACGCACCCCAACCCAGCCCACCCGAGCCACCCCGCACCACCCCAAGCCACCACGCACCCGATCTACCCCACACAAGCCCACCCAAGCCACCACGAGCCACCACGACACCAACCCAGCCCACCGAGCCACCACGCACCACACGACCCCAACCCAGCCCACCCGAGCCACCACGCACCACCACGACCCCAACCCAGCCCACCCGAGCCACCACGCAACCACCCCGAGCCACCACGCACCACCACGACCCGATCACCCACACAAGCCCACCCAAGCCACCACGCACCACCACGACCCAACCAAGCCAACCCGCACCACCACGACCCAACCAGCCCACCCAAGCAACACGCACACCCACGACCCCAACCCAGGCCACCTCGAGCCACCACGCACCCACCCCGAGCCACCACGATCTCCATCAAACCCACACCCCAATCTCCATCAAACCCACCTCATATCTGCGTAAAGACACCCCCCATTTTGAAACTGAATTTTTTTCTCAAAATAACATACTTTGTTTGTCTAAAAAACAAACCCAAACCCACACATATAAAGCAATTGGTTTTTTCGGCTTTTAAGGGTTTTTTTTGGGGCAATTCTTGTTTTTTGGGATTTTGTTTTAATTCGGTTTTATTTGATTAGGCTATTGGCATATAATTGTAATTCGGTTTTATTTATTCGGTAATTGGCACAGGATTGTTTTAATTGGGTTTTTGTTTTGTTTGACAGCTTTTAATCTCGTGTACACACGGATCCATTTAATTGTATTTGGATGTTATATGACTCAGAGAAGGGAAAGAGACTCACGACGTATCCAAATCAATTTTGTAAGTTTTCGTTATCTATTTGTTTTCAAGACACCGAGCCGCTATTTTTTCAATTTTTTTGGAAATAATTTGTATTAGTTTGTTTTTTTTTCATTAATCCTTTGAATTTGGACTTTAATAATGCGTTTTGTATTTGGTTAACTGAAATATTTTATTCGGTTTCACTAATTGATTATTTGTTTATAGATTTGACATCGTTCTTTAATCGTACCCAGAAATTACGCTCATATGCATAGATGTCAGCATAATTTATCTCGACGTCGCAGGATTGATTATTACTTGACAGAGGCGAAAGTTTCGACGTTTTTAGAGTTGGAGTTCGTCATACACCCTGTTGGTGACAGTGTCTGGATCTTCCCCTGCATTGAGTCTTCAAGCAGTGTCGGATCGAAAGAGGTACTTTTATATGTGTTTAGTTGATTACGTTAACATGTGATTATTATATTGTGTAATGTGCTTGGTGATTCGTATGGTGCCCCAATGTTGGTTGTCCCTCACCGTAGTCCTTAGTGGGTGATTCTGTGGCTTGGTCTGCTGAGATGAACACAGATTTCTGGTCCTATCTGAGCGGGCCAAAACTTCACATGGTACTGCAATAAAAACAGCTGATTACCAAGAAATGTTGGAGACATATCATCATTAGCTGGCAGGAGACTCAACGTGACACAATTAGCCTCTAAGTTCTTTCGCCTGCGAAAACTTTATCAAGCATGGCGGAAATTGCTGCAACACACAGGATTCGGGTGGATCAAGAGTCACAAAGTCCAACGTGTCCCGTTGAGGTTTGGCAAGAATATGTCAAGGTAAATATATTTTTTAACTATTATTATTCAACGTCATTGTAAATATACGCATTTTTTCGGACTGCTAAATATAATATATTATTCGTTTAACTATCAGCAAAACCCACTGGCGCAACAATTTTACCACAAGGGACTTCCCCACAAGGAACTTTATGAAATAATATGAGAAGCAAACTGCCACTGGAAGATATGCGTACACATCTACATCCCAACAGGTGGAGCTCCAGTTATTCCAATCGGCTCGGTTCCTATGGATGATAGCGACTTTGAACTGATCCTGATCGTTTGACAGGGGAAAAACGGCCAAACATATCGGTCAGGAGGAGCGAGAAATCGGAGGCATGAAGGGGGCCGGACATACAATTGCGGATGCCATTTATAGCTGATGGATGGTGATGCGGAAAAGCGGACAATGGGATCCAGGGCTTCGACTCGTCCTAGAGATGAGAGGGAAGAAGCGAACACCAGTGCTCATCTGATCCTTTCTCCATGAGCAATTGTATTGACATCATGACGGCCATGCAAGTACGACACAGTTTTTCCTGCCGACTGTCACGTACTTATATGAAAATCAGGGTGGCGCGAGATATTTGTGAAACTCCCACTGGACGAAAGGGCTAAGGATTCACAAAACTTTTTCAAATAATTCGTAGATGACACTATATTTTATAATTGTTGGCAACAATTTGTATGCGTCAGTGGGCAGTTGTCATTACAATTACAATTTATAACGTTACTGTATGAACTTATTTATGTGATATTGTAATGTGGAAACACGTTTTAGATTGTCATTGCAATTAAATATGACTGTTATATTTTTCAAAGTAGTACAACAACTATTAATTGTGATAAATGTTTTGCAAAAGTGTAGGTTTAAATGGCGTGTCTAGCCGTACAGGAAGAAGACAACGT